AGAGGGATATTCCATCCACTGGTTCACTGACCAAATGGCCACAATGGCCAGGGCTGGGCCAGAAGGAAGCCAGGAGTCAAGAGCCTCTTTCAGGTCCCCTACATGGGTGCAAGGGCCCATGCACTTGGGCCATCATCCACTGCTATCCCAGGTGCATTAGCAGAGAGCTGGATCAGAAGTAGAGCAGCTGGGACTCAGACTGGAGCCCATATGGGATGCTGGCACTACAGACAGTGGCTTAACCAGCTGCGCCACAGTGCTAGCCCCCTTGAATTTTCTCAGTTCACTGATTCTTCCTTCCTCCTCTAACACAACTAAATGCTGGCATTCTTCAGGTCTCATTCCTAGGTCTGCTGTGCTTTTCTACATACATTTTCTTGCTCTGAAATCAATGTCTTCACCTCTGCCTCTTCTGAGCTTTAGTCCTGCATTTACCTGCCGACTTGATATAAGCACTTAGATGTGTTAAAATAATAAATTGAGAAGCAAGTAGACTGAAATGGCTCTAGGAAATTGGGTTTCTACTAAACTAAAATGCAATTCAATGTAAACAGTAAAACAAAACTTAGGCTTAACCAATCAGTAGCCCCCACTAACCTCTAACTAGGGACTGGCTAGTGGCTTATATTGGGATATGGCAAATGCCTAGCTGTAGCTAGTTAAGTAATTATTCTACTTCTGTGTTCATCCCATTGCTGGAGAGAGCTCTCTATATCTCTTCTGGTTCTGAGTGATTGATTCATGAATTGCTCTTTGCTCAAACTTTTAAAGTTTAAATTGTCTACAGTTTTTTATTTTTAAATAGATGTTAAGAGGGTTATATGCCAGATAACTTGCATTAGTCCCTTCAGATCCATTTTTTTTTTTTTTGACAGGCAGAGTTAGTGAGAGAGAGAGAGAGAGAGAGAAAGGTCTTCCTTCCATTGGTTCACCCCCCAAATGGCCGCTACGGCTGGTGCTGCGCCAATCCGAAGCCAGGAGCCAGGTGCTTCCTCCTGGTCTCCCATGTGGGTACAGGGCCCAAGCACTTGGGCCATCCTCCACTGCCTTCCTGGGCCACAGCAGAGAGCTGGACTGGAAGAGGAGCAACCGGGACTAGTAACCGGCGCCCCAACTGGGACTAGAACCTGGGGTGCCGGCGCCACAGGCAGAGGATCAGCCAAGTGAGCTGCGGTGGCGGCCTCTTCAGATCCATTCTGCACCCCTCACTGCCTTTCTCCCTGCACTTGGAGGCTGATCTTACAGTTGCATTAACGAGCTCCCTTGTCTTCAGCTTCTGGTTGGGTTTGGCCAATGGGGAACCCAGCAGGAGGTCAGAAGAGAAAAGGTCCGTTCTTTCTGTGATTCTTCTTTGCAAGGCCATGCAGGCTGGTGTAGCCTTGCTTCTTTGAGGCGTACTCCTCTGTATTCTTCCTTTGGTAACCTCTTCCTCTTCTTACCCATTTCCTCAGAGCCTAGGAGTTACTGCTTTTATCATATGAATACTAAATTCTACCCACTCCTCTATAAATAGTTCCCTTATTAAAATCTCCAAGAATTATCATATTTAGAGTATGTCATTGAGTTCCTATTGATACAATCTGTGAGAGTCTAAATAAAATTCCCCAGGAATATCCAGGACCTAATCTGTAGAACCTGTGAATGTTATCTTACATAGCAGAGGTATTTTGCATGTATGACTAAGTTAGTCTTACATTAGGAAGATGTTCCCTGATTATTGGATGAGTCCAGTCCTTATAAGAGGAAGGCAGAGGATTTTTGGAGAAAGTAGCCAGGTGACAAAAGCAAAAAGAAGTTTGAAGGTGCTATGCTGCGGGCTGGGAAGAGGGACTCTGAGTCAAAGAGCACCAAGAATGTAGTTCTAGAAGCCAGAAAAGGCACTAGGGGAAGAGGGCTCTGCCGACACCTTGGTTCTGGGGCTGTGAAACCATTTTGGACTTCTGGCTCAGAAGTCAGAACTGCAGGAGAGTAAACTTCTGTTGCTTCAAGTCATTAGACGTGTGGCAATTTCTTACGGTAGCCATAAAAAACTAAAACAGAACTTCTGATTTCCCCTACAAATCAGGTCCTCCCTAATTTTCTACACCTGGCTGTTTAGAGCCCTCCCTCCCCCATATTTTGCACTTTTTACTTCCAATCCATCACTAGTTCTTTTTTTTTTTTATTTTTATTTTTTACTTTTTGACAGGCAGAGTGGACAGTGAGAGAGAGAGAGAGAGAGAGAAAGGTCTTCCTTTGCCGTTGGTTCACCCTCCAATGGCCGCCGCGGCCGGCACGCTGCGGCTGGCGCACCGCGCTGATCCGATGGCAGGAGCCAGGTGCTTCTCCTGGTCTCCCATGGGGTGCAGAGCCCAAGCACTTGGGCCATCCTCCACTGCACTCCCTGGCCACAGCAGAGAGCTGGCCTGGAAGAGGGGCAACTGGGACAGACTCTAGTGCCCCGACCGGGACTAGAACCTGGTGTGCCCATGCCGCAAGGCAGAGGATTAGCCTAGTGAGCCGTGGCTCTGGTCCTTCACTAGTTCTTTCAATGTGATGCCCACCAGTATGTCCTGAGTGTATCTACTTCTCTTGCAGTTTCTGACACAAGGAAGAACACCATAACTATCTAGAGTCCACGCATGAATGCATCTTCACAGCTAAACCATTGCAGTCTAAGCTGCCTTAGTCACCTAACCAATTAGTTTATCTGTTCTTTTACCTTAGTCCTCCTACAATCCATTCTTCCCATTGCATGAAGAGCAATACTTTTTTTTTATTTATTTTTATTTTTTTTGGTGCCACAGGTGGAGGATTAGCCTAGAAGAGCAATGCTTTTTTAAAAACTTGGGCCAGCGCCGCAGCTCACTAGGCTAATCCTCTGCCTTGAGGCGCCGGCACACCAGGTTCTAGTCCCGGTCGGGGCGCCAGATTCTGTCCCGGTTGCCCCTCTTCCAGGCCAGCTCTCTGCTGTGGCCAGGGAGTGCAGTGGAGGATGGCCCAAGTGCTTGGGCTCTGCACCCCATGGGAGACCAGGAGAAGCACCTGGCTCCTGCCATCAGATCAGCGCAGTGCGGCAGCCGCAGCACGCCAGCCACGGTGGCCATTGGAGGGTGAACCAACGGCAAAGGAAGACCTTTCTCTCTGTCTCTCTCTCTATCACTGTCCACTCTGCCTGTAAAAAAACAAAACAAAACAAAACAAAACAAAAAACAAAAAAAAAAAAACAAAAAGACTTGAAATTAGAGATCAGCGCTGCAGCACCGTGGGTTAAGCTGCCACCTGTGATGCTGGCATTCCATATGGGCCCAGAGTCCCAGCTGCTCCAATTCTGATCCAGCTCCCTGCTAATTCACCTGGAAAAGCAGCAGAAGATGGTTCAAGTCCTTGGACCCCTGTAGCCACCTGGGAGATCTGGAGAAATCTCTTGGCTCCTGGCTCCTGGCTTGGACCTGGCCGTTGCAGCCATCTGGGGATTGAACCAGTGATTGGAAGATCTCTGTCTCTCCCTCTCACTCTTTTTGTAACTTTGCCTTTTAAATAAGTAAATAAATATTTTTTAAAAAATCTAAATTAAAGTAGATTACTCCCTATCTTAAAATCCTTCACTTACTTCCCAGTGCATTTTGGATAACATTCACATGCTTCACTTTGCACTTAAGACCATCTATGTTCTGGAAGTTGTCATCGTCTTTTGCCTCTTTCCTTCACCCTAACTGCAGCCTTTTACTATTATTACCATTGGCTTTAAAGTGTGATAAAGACATTTCCTCTACTTAGAAGGTTCTGTGAAGGGCCAGCGCTGTGGCACACTAGGTTAATCCTCTGCCTGCGGCGCCAGCATCCCATATGAGCACAGGGTTCTAGTCCCAGTTGCTCCTCTTCCAGTCCAGTTCTCTGCTGTGGCCTGGGAGGCCAGTGGAGGATGGCTCAGGTGCTAGGGCCCCTGCACCCGCGTGGGAGACCAGGAGGAAACACCTGGCTCCTTGCTTCAGATGGGCACAGCGCCGGCCATAGCAACCATTTGGGGAGTGAACCAACAGAAGACCTCTCTCTCTCTCTCTCTCACTGTCTGTAACTTTATCTGTCAAATAAATAAATAAAAATCTTAAAAAAAAAAAAAAAAAGCAGCTCTGTGAAACGTTCCATGACCTCCCTACCCCATCTTGGTTACTCTGAGTTCCGTACCTGTTCCCTTTGCACTATAACTCACAACTATTTGTTAAGTGATTCCATGACAGAAAGAACCTGGCACAGTGATTTGGTACACAATTGGTAAATAAGTCGAATATTATATTTGCCTACTTGTGTTCTTTAAAAGTTTTAAACATTTATTTAAGAGGCGGGGAAGTGCTAGAGCCCACAATACTGAGGACAGGGCAGAGTCAAGCTCCAGGAATTCAGTGCGGGTCACCTACATGGATGGCAGGAATCCAGTGCTGCCTCCCAGGATCTGAATCGGCAAGAAGCTGGCGTCAAGAGCCAGAGCAAAGGCTCGAACCCAGGCACTTCGCTTCGAGACGTGCGCATCTTGACCGCTGGGTTAAATGCCTGCTCACAAAGTTGGCTATTTGTGACCCATGTAATGTGCTTTATTAGTTTGTGAGTAACTTGAGGGCAGAGCCCCGCAGAACTCAAATCTCTAGGGAAGTCCTGTGCAGTGCATGGGTTAACATTACTTATATCAGCTCTTTGGGGAAAAAAAAAATCAATGAGGTACACGGATAAAAGTGAGAAGGGGAGAACAAGAAAGGTGTACCTCAGCCGAGTAGACCTGGGAAAACGTCCGGCTGGAAGGAAATGAAAGAACACACACGTTAAATAACCAACAAAAAGGCTGCAACTCCCCCACGTGACATCAGAGTAGACTTCCAAAAGCTGAAAATTCGCCTCTCGCGAGAGGAAAAACTGCCCACGCGCGAGCGAACGCCAGCCGCTGCCCCGCCCTCTCTGAGCCCCACCCACACCCGTCCTAACTCCCACCTTGAACCAGCCGCCGGCACGTGTGACGTCAGGACGCTGTGCGTGGCCGCGGCGGCGGCGGCGGCGGCGCAGGCGGCGGATTCGCGGCGCGGCGCCGGAGAAGGAAGTGGTGTGGTTGTTGCTGTCTTTTCTCCCACCGCTGGCTCCCGGGGCGCGGAGAGGGGGCGCCGTCTCCGCCGCTGCGCCGCCCTCCGTGTCTACGCCCCTCCATGTTCTCCGGCGCCGCTGCTCCGCTTCCTCAGGCCACCGCTTACCCCGGGGTCTATGGAAGTAATGGAAGGACCCCTCAACCTGGTGAGTGGCCCACGGCCGGGCGCGTCCGCTCTCGAGTGCCTTTGCCTCAGGAGTTGGGTCCTGTCTCGGGAGTGGGAGTGCAGGTTGACACTGGAGGCCAGGAGGCGGGTTTGGCACGGGTGGTCGCAGAGACTGGGGGGCGCAGCACGCAGGCCCTGACCCGCACACAGGGTCCTGGGCGAGCTGCCCCAGACTTTGTCCTCCTCGCGGAATTCCTGGGAGGCTGCGACTACCTCGGGTGTGCCCTGTTGCAGGGTCCCAGGCACGGGGGTGTCACCAGCCGGGGGAATGCCTCCAAACGCCACGTAGCAGCCTGGAAGGACACCGAAGCCGGCCAGGCAGAAACGGTGTGTGATGCTGGGTTGAACTTCCAGTTGGGGTCTGAGTGTGCCTCTCCGCTTTGGAGGAATGGAGTACCAACTCCCTCCTCGTTTTTCTTACCCATGTCTCGTGTTCAGATACAGCGACGGAGCCTCACTTCTCCCCCAGTATAGTAGAGACAGCTGGTTTTTGGTCGACTTCATCGCTAGGCATCTTGAAAACACGAAAATGTTTGTGGTTCCCAGCTTTAGTGCTGATTGCCTATTTTATTATAGTCTTAGGGATCTCAGGTGTTGCGATTAAAACACACAGCCACCCACCCACCGCCAAGAAAAGCAAGTTCTTTCCAGACTGGCCACTTCATCTTTCGGTTTCCCACAGAGTGTACCTATGTTGGATGCAAACGTCAAGTTGATTAAGGTTGCAGACAAATAACTTTTGAAGTCACAGGTTTGCAATCCATTTGAGGTGATGGGACTGGGAAAAGGTTATGGAGGTTTTGTTTCTCACGTTGGAATTCTGAACCCTCGTGTGTGGAAGAACCCTGGAATGGACTAGAGAAGCAGTGGAACTTGGTGGTTTAGGGTTATAGGTTCTGGGTCATTTGGCACAGCAGCTAAGACTGCGGGACATACAATTCTCACATCAGAGTGCCTGGGTTCAAGTCCCATGGTTGCTTCGAATTCAAACTGAATGCTAATTTGCAGCCTATGAGGTAGCAAGTCATAGCTTAAGTACTTGGATCTTTACCTCTCGCTTGGGAGATCCAGATTGTATTCTGGGCTCTTGGCCTAGGCCTCAGGCAGTTGTGAGCATTTTAGAGTGAACCACCTGATAGAAGATTAATCTCTCTGCCTTTCAAATAAAATGAGAACTTAGACACAGACACAGACACACACGTACACGTAAAGACTCAAGCCAAACTGCTAGGATTTGCATTCTGGCTTTGCCACTTGACAGCTGTGTAACTTTGGGCAAATTACTTAACTCTGTTTCGGGTTTGTTAGGATTGGGGAGTAAATAGATGTGTAAAGTGCTTGGAATTGAGTCAGGTACCCAGTACAGTGTAAGAGTTAGCTATTATAATAATACCTTCAGTCCTTACGTTAAACCTCTTATGGAGTGACGCTCTGGAACTGTTGAGCTTCGTAAACCTATAGGTTAGGACCTAAAGCTAGGATTGGAAATGGCTGAGGAGCCTCCTCCAGTTTCATTAAGCTAAGCTGTGCGCCCATTAGTAACCATTGTTTATACTTGAGAATTGGGCTACATTTGTGTCTTTTTAAAAACCACAGAAATATCTTGTATCTTTGTTTTTAGGGTGTCATACAGTTCGTAATGAAATATAATGGATGACTCTCAATACTGAGACTTCATGGGAATCTTACTAGAAATAAGTAGCAGTTTACAAAGTGCTTCAGAGTTCAAGTGTCCTTGCAGCATGACCATTGGTTCAGTTCCAGTTAGTTTCCACTTTATTTGGAGGCAGGTTGTAGCCTAACCCCAGCCAGCTGCCCACAAGTGTGCAGTGTCTTATGAGAAAACTGAAACTGGGCAACAGTTGTACATGGAGCAGTATCACCAGTTTAGGAAATATTAGCGAAATGGCAGCAACAATATTTTCTTTTTATAGGAGAGTTTTGAAGCAGTCCCGTTAAGACTAGCATAATTCCATAAAACTTAAGTGGGCAAATGTCAGAAATATGAATTTTTAAATCTTTTTGCAGTTCAAAAGATCTAATTTCAAATCTAGTTGTTTATTGGAACAGAGATTAACATTTACTGGAATGATCTTAACTGTATGTTGTAGTAATTCAGTTGTCATTCAACATTATAGCTTTTTTAAAGCTATTACATTCTTTTATATCAGTGGATACCTAAGTATATTGTTGAGTCAGTGTGGTTGTTGTCAGTGCTATGATTTAATGAGTGCCTTTGAAAATCTCACTAGTATACACAGGCTTTTGAAATAGCATCACAGTGTAGTCTAAATTTATTGTTTAGGGACTACAGTACATAGATGTATAGTTCTTTGTCCTCAGAATATCCTTGTAATTTATTCTTTCCCAGTTTTATAGATGAATAAGCTCATATTGAGAGAAATTAAGTAATTATAGGTCAATGGCTCAAGTACATTGTGGATCACAGTTCATTTTGATATCATGACTTCTTTCTAGCAATGCTTCTATATTCATGTTCTCATCGTCTTCATTTCACTATGGTCCTTACTGAAGTGTAGCTTGTGTTAGCATTTAGTGCTGCTGCTGTAGGGTTGATTGTTTCATGTTAGGTTTGCAGCAAGAGTTTGTAGACTTATTTCCTCACAGTGAATTTTAAAAGATATCTTGGAGAGTAATTTGAAATAGATATTTTTAATCTGTTGTATAGATAATGTGGCTTAGTTATATTACCTGAAGATTTATTTTATTTGAAAGGTAGAGTTGCAGAGAGAGAGGATCGGAGAGACAGAGATCTTCCATCCACTTGTTCACTTCCCAAATGGCCACAACTGGGCCAGGTCCAAGCCAGGAACTTTGTTGGGTCTCCCAAGTGGGTGCAGGGGTCTGAGGACTTGGGCTGTCTTCTGCTGCCTTCCCAGGAGTGTTAACAGGGATCCGATGGGAAGCAGCTGGGTCTCGAACTGGTACCCATATGGGATGCTAGTGTCGCAGGTGGTGGCTTAACCCCTTATGCCACAATACTGGCCCCAGTCCATTTCTTTTAAAGTTGGTCAGAAGCAAAATAAGATAAATGTTATTTCCATTAAAGGAAAAAATAGCTGGTCTTTGGACTTTGAGTTGTTTTGTTAGCTTTTTTCTTTTTGTCAAATTTTTAACATGTAAAAATTATACCATAAAGTTACTTAGTGTAGACTGAGGCATTTCTTTTCATACATGTCATTTTAGTAGTGTGAATGTTGATAGCAAATGTTAAACATTAGATAATTTCTAGTTCTTCAGTTTGTTTGCTGTGAGTTTGAGAAGTGATGCCAGATTTTTTTTTTTTTTTTTTGGCAGGCAGAGTGGACAGTGAGAGAGAGAGAAAGGTCTTCCTTTTTGCCATTGGTTCACCCTCCAATGGCCGCCATGGCTGGCGCGCTGCGCTGATCCGAAGGCAGGAGCCAGGTACTTATCCTGGTCTCCCATGGGGTGCAGGGCCCAAGTACTTGGGCCATCCTCCACTGCGCTCCCTGGCCACAGCAGAGAGCTGGCCTGGAAGAGGGGCAACCGGGACTAGAACCCGGTGTGCCGGTGCCGCTAGGTGGAGGATTAGCCTAGTGAGCCGCGGCCCTGGCCGCCAGATCTTAATTTATAAATGACTGTTGCTCATGCTTGTTTACCTACCCCAAAGGGCAAGGTCCATGTGACTGTGTGACCATAATTGTTGTCTGAGTGTTTGTCCTTTAAAGAGTACTGGGAATATATTTATTGAGTAATTGAGCTTCTCCTTAGAGTGGTCAGTTCTCACATAGGTAAGTAAAGAAACCTCCAAGCTTCTCATCTAAGAAAAGGAATCTGATAACATGGTGCAGAGAATATCCATGTACATACCTGGAGACTTTCTAACCATCCCATGATAACTATACTGATATTGGCAGTAAAATCTTTAAAGTAAGAAGGCTGTTTGAACCTCTTCCTTGTTGCCTTGAAAAACTGCAAGGAAAATTCATCCTCTGTTGCAAGCAAGGCTGGGCTTAATGGAAACACCCTGGGGAAAGGTGGTAGGGCACTAAAATATATCCAGCAATTAGTAATGGGGGAGGGGGACATCTTACGTAGATTATTTATCTGGTCCTCTAAACAGCTATAGGACAGATTCCTGTTTTTCACAGATGAAGACTTTGAAATTCAGAGTAAGTGGTGACAATGGGATTTGAAAGCAAGAGTCTAAATAAATATTGATCTTTTTATTATATCAGCATTTGTTCATGTTGAATGATCACAGTGAGAATTTTTTACAGAAAAGCAACACATACGTATGTGCATTACAACAGAGCTGTTAGATTATGAAAGGTGCCTCCTGGAATTGTGCAGAAAGCAGGGATTCATAAGTTTCACCGAAACAATGAAGTTTTTACTACTTACATTCTGTAACATTTACTTTTATATTAAAAAAAACTAGTTGTCACCCACTAGATTGATTTCACAACCTGTTAGTGGCTTGCATGCTGTAATTTGAAAGGTACTGTACTAGATTCTCACTGTCTTTACAGCGGATGGTGGCAGTTTTGAAGAAAAGCAAGCTAAACTGGAAACTACAGGAGGACAAAAAGATTTGGATGGGAGAAATTGAACCTTAGATTTAAAATTAAAAAGAAGTCGTCCTGAGGGGTGAACTTTTTTAAAAATTTTTTTTATTTTTTGACAGGCAGAGTGGACAGTGTGAGAGAGACAGAGAGAAAGGTCTTCCTTTGCCACTGGTTCACCCTCCAATGGCCGCCGCGGCTGGCGCGCTGCGGCCGGCGCACCACGCTGATCCGAAGGCAGGAGCCAGGTACTTCTCCTGGTCTCCCATGGGGTGCAGGGCCCAAGCACTTGGGCGATCCTCCACTGCCTTCCCGGGCCACAGCAGAGAGCTGGCCTGGAAGAGGGGCAACCTGGACAGAATCCGGCGCCCTGACCGGGACTAGAACCCGGTGTGCCAGTGCCGCTAGGCGGAGGATTAACCTAGTGAGCCAC